GAAAGCTTTATGAAGGCAGATCACCAGGCCTCTCTTGCACAGAGCCGCTGGGTAGATCTGAACCACCAACCTTCTGTTAGCAGCTCAGTGCTTAACCACTGGTACCACCTGGGTCCTTCAAGCACACAGCATGCACTGAGAAACCAGAGATGCCACTGTCACTGTTGCTGCTGTTGCCTTGGGGTCCAGTCGCTCTACCCAGAGACGCGGGGCTCACAGACCTCGAGTAATGAAACCTGATGATTCAGCCGCTTCGGACTCCACCCCACCCGGAAGCTCTGCCTGACGACTAACGGCAGCGAAAGAACAAGAACACGGTGACCCAGGGCCTGAGGCTGGACGCGGGACTAGGCATCCACCTCTCCCACACTCGAGTACGTGGGGACATCCAGGGTGCTCCAGGGAAATCGGGGAGGAGACTTTTAGGAGACAGAACCTCAGTCCCTGAAGGAAGGTTAATGTGCCAAGCCGTCCCTCTACAGGCTGCTGGTGTGCAGGGTAAGGGGGAGGACACGGGGTCTGGCGCAGTGCCTCCACCCTCCTTCACAGCCTTGCTCTCTCCACCCCCTCCACAGTCCTCACTCCGTCACTCACTCCCATTGCTGCAACTCTTCATAACCTCAGCCCCAGCAGCCCACTCCCACCCCCACCTCAGCCCCAGCAGCCCACACTGTGGTAGTTATGTTTGTGTGTCAGCTTGGCTGGGCCTGGTTGAGTGGCTGGGCAGCTGGTGGTAGTTATTCCCCATGATGAGACTGGCAATCAGCTCCATGGTGGGATCTACCACAAGCAGCTGAGTAGCTGCCTTTGGGTATGTGGTCTGCTTCCTGTATATAAGCAGCAGCTTTGGGAACAGTCTCTACCATATGGCACCCTTGAACCCTGCATGTGCCATGTGGTTATTCAGCAGCCTGCCATGCTCTGCTGACCTTGGGACTTACAATGGACTTAAGTTAATGGCCTGCCGTGTGGTTTGGTAACATCGGGACTCTGCCTTTTTACTTGTCAACTTTGGGTTTGTCAGTCTCAGCAGCCAGCAGCTGTCTGAGTGAAGAAAAGCCTCCAGCTTCAATGGCCTGAGAGCAGGACACAGAGCTGAAGCCCAAGGATGAGGGGCTTTCACCCAGCCCATAGAGCCTGGCACTTTGAATTCAGACCTAAAGCCTCCAAACTATAAGAGAATTAACTCCTGTTTGTTCAAGCCATCCCATTTGTGGCGTATCCTTCGAGCAGCACTAGGGAACCAGAACACACACTCCCACCCCCACCTCAGCCCCAGCATCTCATGGTCCCACCCCCACCTCAGCCCCAGCAGCCCACGCTCCCACCCCCACCTCCCACACTCCAGCTCACTCCCTTTACAGCTCTCAGTCCAACAGCTTCGGGCACAGAGGGCCCAGCACACCGTGGCCCTCGGTGAACATCATAAACACTGAGTGGAAAGACCACATTATTCATCCCACAGGCCTGATATGTGCCGGGCACCATGTGGGGTGCTGGAGAATGGTAGTGAACAGGACGGACAGCCCAACCCTCACGGTGATGACCGTCTACCAGGAGCAAGGGGTGGGAGCAGGTGCTGGGCACACAGGAGGGCAATCCCAGAGGGCGGCAGGCAGAGAAAGGGCAAAAAGACTAGGTGAGGCAAGGGCAGGGTCAAGGGGCCAGGAGCAGAGACCAGGGAGCACACAGAGCCTCCATCACACGGGCCCTTTTAAGCCAAGCTAAGCACCTGATAAGGAGGCCTGACGGTGTAGTGGGTAAGACATTCAGCTGCTAACCAGCACGTCAGCAGTTCAATCCTGCCATCTGCTCTGCGGGAGGAAGATGGAGCAAGCTGCTTCCGTAAAGATCTACCACCTTGGGAATCCAGTGGGGGTTGCTCTGAGTCAGAACAGACTCGATTGCAGTGGGTTGGGCTGGGTTTTCTTAAGCACCTGATAAGGAATCCTTGAAGCACAAGCAGTTCAGTGCTCAGCTGCTAGCCAAATAGCTGGCAATTCGAACCTACTCGGCGCTCTGTGGGAGATCGAGCTGGCCATCAACTCCCATGGGAATTACAGCGCAGAAAACCCTGCAGGCAGTCCCACTCTGTCACCCGGGCTCACAGCACCTAGCGCCCCCACAAAGCACCTTCTAAGGGAAGCAGCAGCCCAGGGAGAGTTAAGCAAGGGAGTGATGCGTCAAATTTGTCCTCTGGAGAGATCACTCGGAAGGCAGCTCAGAAGAAGGGGGGGGGAGGCAGGACCACGGACAGAGCTACAGGCTGCACGGCTGCTGCGGTCAGTGCCAACCATGGCCTAAGAAGAGTGCCAGCAGCGAAGGAAGGGCTTGCGACTCCTGCTTTCAGCCCGGCACACAGCCATCTCCATTATAAGCCACCCGGCATCCCTTGCGCTGAGTTGTGGCCATGTGACTACGTTCTGGCCAATGGGAGTTAGTGGAAAGCACGTGTGCAACTTCTGCAAAGTATCCTTAAACAGAGGGAGCGTGCCCTGCTTCATCCTGCCCTCTGCCTTCCTACTGGCTAGAAAGGTAGACGTGATGGCTGGGCCTGACCATTTGGGACCATGAGGTGGCCTACGACACCAGACAAGACAGAAGGAGCCTGGGCCCAGAGGCCCCTGTGGAACAGCGCTATCAGCCACACCGCCATCTGCCTTGGCTTCACTTGAGAAAGAACCAAAGTTCTATGCTGTCCGACCAGACCAGACCTACTTCCATCAAGACGACTCCAGCTCATAGAGACTACAGGCCAGAGTAGAACCATCTCATATTGGTAAAGTCGACGAAAAGCGGAAAGGCCCTCAACGAAGTACAGCAAGGATATAGGTGTAGCAAGGATAGCAAGGCCGGCACAGGACCGGGCAGGGTTCCGTTCTGCTGTGCACAGGGTCACTATGACTCGGAGGTGACTCGACAGCACATAACAACGACAACAACAGAACTGTCCCGTAGGGTTTCCAAGGCTGTACATTTTTATGGGAGCAGACTGCCTCACTTTCTCCCACAGAGGGGTTGGTGGGCTCAAACCGCTGACCTTTTGGTTAGCATCAGAATGCTTTAACCACTATGTCTCCAGGGCGCCCTATCCTGTTTAAACACTAGTATTTCAGGTTTTCAAGCAAGGAGCCCTGGTGGCATTTAAGCACTTTGCTGCTAACCAAAAGGTTGGTAGTTCAAACCCACCCAGCAGCCCTGCAGATAAAAGGCCTGACATCTACTTCTGTAAAGATTACAGCCTAGAAAACCCTCAGGGGCAGTTCCACTCCGTCACAAGGAGGTTGCTATGAGTTGAAAACCACCTTGACGACTGGCAACATCACGTGAGCAGAATCTGATCCTGATCGGAAGAGAAGATGACGCAGATTCAAGACGTACTCGGGAGAACCTAATAGACTCGGCAGTGACCTGATCTGGGTGGGGGGCCCAGTGCCCTGCTCAGCAGTGCCCGCCCAGCACCCCTCACTGCAGGCCTGGGGGCAGCTGCTGGAGCTGCATGCCAGCCTGTCCATCCCAGGCCAAACAGAGGGCAGTCAGTCAGGCCCACCTGCAGTCAGAGTTTGGCCTGGTCCTGCTGGCTTCAATCCGGCCTCTGGGCTATCCACTGAGGCTTTACCTTTGCCCAAGCCCTCACTGCAGTGCCCCTGCCTCAGTTTCCTTGCCTGTACTCCATTTCCCCACTGGAACTAAGCCAAACTCTGAACCCTTGCCTGATTGGCCGGGGCCCTCACACCCTACCCTGCTCTTCTCCTGGTGGTTGGGCCCATGCCCCCAGGTTGCCACTTCCTGAGATCCCCACTGCCAAGCATCCTCGATCAGAATGGCCCCAGCGTCCCCTCCAGTGTCACTTCTCACCAGCGCCCAGAGGCACTGAGGATCCAGCTAGAGGGCACTGCCTGGAGGCTGACACCTCCCCGCCTCTGCACCTTCCGTGTCCTGCGGGACTGACTCCTACTCCTGCTTCAGGATGCAGAGTGCCTCCTGACGCCTCCGCCAGACCCCCAGGACGTGACCGTGTCCTCGTGTGCCACCGTTCCCCGTGCTCTACCTCTGTCCTAGCACTTCTCACCCGGCAGCGCAGTGCCTGGTTTGCATGCCGCCTCCATACTGCCCGCTCCTTAAAGGCACAGGCCATGCTTTGGCATCTCGCTGCACACACAGAGCTAGCCCAGGGCCTGGGGCAGTGGAGACCTTGGAGATGCTCTGTGAGTGTGGAAGGGATGGATGACGGGAGAGCCAGATGGTGAACAGACAGAAAAGGGACATCGGTACTGGCCCAACTCGACACCAACCTGCCCACCTCCTTTGGCCCCTGCCCACCCCTACCCCCTTTTCCCAGCCAGCCCTGCAGCTGGCTCGGTTTCCTCCACCCTGTCCTGGATTGCTGCCTTTTCCTTCTAGCCCCTGAAAGTCCCCAGGTGCCCTGAGCAGTGACAACTCTGTCCAGCCCCTTGAGTCTCTCTTGGCTTTAAAGATCCAGGACAGAAGGTTATCACAGTTATCACAGCAGGCCATATCTCACTGGGCCTCTCAGCGGCCCCCTTCTTCCTCCCTTCCGTCTGAACAAGTCAGTCTCCCAATAGGGAACAGCCCAGGCTTTTCTCCCCAAGTCCCCGCTGCTGGGAGCCTGAGGGCCAGAAGACTGGGCTCAGAGGAAGCCCTTCTCCCGTCTAAGGAGCTCTGGTGGTATAGTGCCTAAGGCATTTGACTGCGAACCAGAAGGTCTATGGTTCAAACCCATCAGCCACTCCATGGAAGGAAGACTGGGCAATCTACTTCCATAAAGACTTACTGCCTCGGAAACCCAAAGAGGGTTGCTGTGAGTCAGAATCAACTAGATGGCAGTGAGTTTGGGTTTTTGTTTTTTCTCCCATGCTAAGAGCTGAGACATTCTGTGAAGGTCATTCTCCCCTCTCACCCACCCCCCCCACCCCGAGAGACCTCCAGGCAGAGCACTGAAAGGAAGCAAAGGAAAGCAGTGTGTGATTGGCACCCACCGGAATCCACTCTGCGGGTTCCTGGGGTTGACCAGGACACAGTCCCAGGCGCGACTGGGAATGCTCTGGAACAGAACCAGCTGTCCTTCCTCCTGAACCCGGCTGCTCACGTTGTAGTCTGCCATGGACACCTCCTTCACCCGGAATGGGTTAGAGAACAAGTTGGTGACACTACTGAGGGTGTTGACCAGGCGGCCGAAGAACTGCATCTTCCGCGGGGCAGGTGGGGAGGCCCCGCCACCTGCCCCCTCAGTCTGGAAGAGAACGGGGTCGCTGGTCAGCTGGGTGCGGTCTCCCATGCCCACCTCACCAAGTGCAGTGGGTTCCTGCACAGGCTCCCGACCAGACTGTACCCCGAGTCAGGGCCTGCAGGGACCTGGAAAGGACAAGAAAGAAAGAGAAAGGCACTGAGTGAGGGGCAAGGAGGCCTGAGGGGAGTTACAGACCACCCGGGGAAGGCCAGGTACCTCGCAGACTCCCCTCCCGAGCAGCCATTGGGCCAAGGGGACCCCGTAACTGTCCTGCCCCTGACCTAGTTTCCCTGATGAAGACTCAGTTTCCTCATCTGTAATGTGGGCAGCAAGGAGCCCTGATGCCACAGTGGTTAAAGCACTCGGCTGCTAATCAAAAGGTCGGTAGTTCAAACTCACTAGCTGCTCCAAAGGAGAAAGATACGGCAGTCTCCTCCCATAAGGATTTGTTGTTGTTGTTGTTAAGTGCCGTCGAGTCGTTTCCGACTCATAGCGACCCCATGCACAGCAGAACGAAACACTGCCCGATCCCGCACCAGCCCCACAATCCCTGCTATACTCGAGCCCATCATCGCAGCCACTGTATCAATCCATCTCGTTGAAGGCCTCCCCCTCTTTCGTCGACCCTCCACCCTACCAAGCATGACATCCTTCTCCAGGGAATGGTCCCTTCTTACAACATGACCAAAATAGGTGAGACGAAGTCTGGCCATTCTCGCTTCCAAGGAGCATTCTGGCTGCACTTCCTCCAGGACAGATCTGTTAGTTCTTTTAGCAGTCCATGGTACTTTCAGCATTCTTCGCCAGCACCACAACTCAAAAGCATCAACTCTTCTTCGGTCTTCCCTATTCATTGTCCAGCTCTCACATGCATACAAGGTGATTGGAAATATCATGGCTTGTGTCAGGCGCACCTTAGTCCTCAAGGAGATATCCTTGCTCCTCAGCACTTGAAACAGTTCCTTCGCAGTTGACTTTCCCAATGCTACACGTCGTCTAATGTCCTGACTGCTGCTTCTGTTGGCATTGATTGTAGAACCAAGCAATGTGAATTCCTTGACAACCTCAATCTTCTCTCCATTGATTGTGATGCTGCTCATTGGTCCAGTTGTGAGGATTTTTGTTTTCTTTATGTTGAGATGTAATCCATACTGCAGACTGTATTCTTCAACCTTCATCAGTAGGTGCCTTAAGTCATCCTCACTTTCAGCAAGCAAAGTTGTATCGTCTGCATATCTCAGGTTGTTAATGATTCTTCCTCCAATCCTGATACCACGTTTTTCTTCATATAGTCCAGCTTCTCGGATTATTTGCTCAGCATATAGATTGAATAAGTGTGGAGAAAGAATACAACCCTGACGCACTCCCTTCTTGATTTTAAACCATGTAGTGTCCCCTTGTTCTGTTCGAACGACAGCCTCCTGGTCAAGGTACAGATTCCTCATGAGTACAATCAAGTGCTCAGGGATTCCCATTCTTCTCAATGTTATCCATAATTTAGAGCCTTGGAAACCCAATGGGGCAGTTCTACTCTGTCCTCTACAGGTGAGTCAGAGTCAACTTGACAGCAGTGGGTTTGGGTTTTTGGTCTGAATGTGGGCAGCACCCACTGCTCCCACTTCACGGAGCTGTTGCATTGACAGAGGCAATAACAGATGGGAATGTACACAGCATAGGAACATAACGCGTAGGGCTCCCCACTGCGTCATTTAAAAAATTGTGAGGCACTCAGAGTTCGTCACAGGTCATACAAATTCCACAAAATCAGTGTCCCTGCTCCAGGCTCACGAGGAGACTGGGGTCACCTCACAATCTGTTGGGAACAGGGGATGGGAAGCGTTTGTCTCCATCTGTTGGTGCCAAGGAGCTCGGAGAAGGCCCTGAAATAAGATTCTCAGAAACACCTGTGTGTGAAGATGAGCCACCTTTTCTGCTGGGGAACCTCTCACAGTTTGGACAGTAGAGTTACCTGTCTCGTTACTTCCTGGGTTCCCAGAAAGCCCACAGCCTGCCGAGGGCATGGCCCCCAAGGATGGCAAGAACCAGCTGGAAGCCCCCTGCTCTGCCTTGGTGCCAATACAGTCACCCAAAGGGAACATCAGTCACCAAGGACACAGTGCCTGAGTGTGGGTGCCCTGGGAGGGGCGTGGACATCTGCAGGGCACTGGGGCACCCCCTTGCTTGGCCCCAGCCTATGTACTGAGGAGAGGAGGGGTGCTGTGGGTCAGCCTTAGGGAGAAAGGGAAGAGCAAGTGGCCTACAAAGAACCATTAAAGAGACAGGAAGGAGCCATGGTGATGCAACGCTTAAGTGCTCAGCTCTGAACTGAAAGGTTGCCGGTTGAAACCTACCCAGTGGCTTGACCAGAGAAAAACTTGGTGATCTGGTTCCTGAAAGACTAAAAACCAAACCGAACTCAAGGCCGTCCAGTTGATTCTGCTCACAGCGACTCCCACTGGGATTCTGAGGTGGTCAGTCTTTATAGAAGTAGATTGCCCCGTCTTCCTTCTATAGAGCACCTGGTGGGTTTGAACCACCAACCTTCTGGTTAGCAGTCCAATGCTTTAGGCATTGCACCACCAGGGCTCCTTTCCTTGAAGACCACAGCCTATTAACTTGGAGGAAGGAAAAGGCAATATACAGCAAGGAGGAAATCACAAAATGATCAAGGCCAAGGAAGCCACTGGGGGGAACACAAGAGTCCAAGACAACACAGGTGAACACTGAGACACACACAACCCTGCAGCAACAGCAGCAGCAGGGGGCTACCGGCAGATGCCTCGGTAGGAAGCTCAGGAGGCAGGAAGGGCGGGAAGGAAGGACATACGGAAACAGAACACACGAGGAGGAAGTAGGAAGACAGCTATTACATCGTGGGGACTGTAATCAGTGCCACAAAATGTCTACAAACTGTTGAATGGAAAACCAATCTGCTCTGTAAACTTTCACCCAAAAAGCAATAAATACTTGGAAAAAAAAAAAACTACTATAGCCTAGAAAACTGTATGGGGTAGTTCCAGTCTGTCATATGGGGTCACTATGAGTTGGAATCGACTCAACAGAACCACACAACAGCAAGGGTCCATAATAATCACACCCAGAGACATTTACTGAGCATTTATTATGCGGCAGGCCCTGAGCTAAGCACATTGCGTGGGGTGTCTGGCTAAGGCCAAGCATCTGAGGCAGGGGCGCCAAGAGCACACTGCAGCTCTGGAGGACACCGACCAGGTGTGAGGCCTTGGGCAAGTCACCCAACCTCCCTGTGGCTCAGTTTCCTCACCTGTCAAATGGCATGCCTAGAAACAGTCCCTGGCCTGCAGTTAGGTGTTCGACAAATGCTAGTTTTACTTTGAACACCCCCTTTGGCAGAGAGGGAGGCTGAGACTGGGAAACCAGGACCAAGCAGCTCTGAGAGCGGTCTGCAGCTCTGAGCGGCCCTCCTTCTGTGATAATAAAGTCAGGGGACGCTCTTGGGCCTGCTTCTCCTTTAAAATGGGGACAACCACCCTCCCTCCAAGGATTGTGAGGATTCAAACGGACTGTTGGTGGAAATGTTAAGTCCTGCGTCAAGCTCCTTGCTTTCTCCTGCACTCAGGACCTATAAGGACAGGGAAGCTGGGGTGCCTGTGCCCCTCCCCAGGGCTAGGGGAGGGAGCCCAGCAAAGAATCCTCAAATGGAAGAGCTGTCACACTCATCAATGAGCGTGATAACCATGTGAAACAAATGAAAGTGACGCCAACAGAAACATTAAAACCAAAAACCCTCGTGTCAAGTCGACTCCAACTCGTGGCGCCCCTGTGGGTGATGTGTTGGGCTTGCTCGCTGGGGTTTTCCAGGCTGTGATATTTCAGAAGCAGACTGCCAGGCCTTGCTGCCAAAGTGCCTCTGGGTGGACACGAAACACCAGCCTCTGGTTAATAGCCCAGCACGTAGCCATCTCTGCCTCCCAGGGACTCCATCCAACATAAGAATGGTAACTTCTGGCACGTTCACCCTGAGATATTGTGTAGTCCCTAAAGCTGTGATTGCAAAGACTCAAGGAAAGCAAGTGACATCCTGTCCAAGGCTTGGTGCCGCTGGCTCTGTGCCCATGGACTGACTGTGTGCGCTGCAAGCGTGGCCAGTGAAAGGCTTGCCTCCAGAGCAGCCACCCAGGCTCAGTCTTCTCCAGCCCCTGCCCGGTCTGCACTGCGCCATGCACCCTCCCGGCCTGTCCACATCCTGTGTCTATCTGAATGTTGTCCTCTCCTCATTTTCCTGGAGAAGCCCTGGTTACCCTGCAAACCAAGCACCTGCCCCCAGCCCATCTCCTTGCTCAGTGCTGCCCCTTCAACCTATTTCTATTATTAAACCCCAGTGAGTTATACATAGGCACATAGGTTAAAGCAATTGGCTGTTAACCAAAAGATCAGTGGTTTGAACCCACCAGCCATTCTGTAGGAGAAAGATGAGGCAGTTTGTGTCCGTAAAGATGTGCAACCTGGAAACCCCATGATGCAGTTCTGCTCTGTCCAATAGGGTCACTATGACTTGGAATCAACTCAATGGCAGTTTTTTTTTTTTTTTTAATTGGCATAACTGCCCCTCTTACCTCGTGTGCATGTGCCACCCATCTGTCAGTGGGGTTTGCGGGTTGCCATGAGGCCGGACAGATCCCGGCAGTACTCGGACTAGGAAGAAGAGCCTGGTGACGTATTTCCAGACACTCTGCCAGTGAAAGCCTGTGGATCCTGACAGTTCCACGTGCTGTGCATGGGGTTGCCATGAGTCAGCAGCAAACAAAAGCACCAACCAGACTACAGGCTTCAGGGCTGTAATCACACCCAACACTCATGTGCCTCTTGCAATGCTCTGGTCTCTTCCAAGAGTCCTCATGTATCAATCATTTCACCCACCCAAAAACCATGAAGTCATTACCATTATTGCCCTCACTTTCTTGCTGTTGTTATTAGGA